TCATCCCAACAATAACTCTATGAGGTAGGTATTGGGTCCTTTAGAGAACCAAATAAGTGACAACCCCATTTTCTATCTGAGATCTGAATCCATTGAAATATTTTTTAAAAGATTAAAAGATTGAGAAATTATAAGACCGCTTTATAAATGATATTAAAAGAATGTAGCTTTTATTTGTTGTCAGATGCGCTTCCTAACCTTGAACTTCCCCTCTCAGTCACAGGCAGTGTTGGGCCAAGTAGATCTCCTTCCCAGAAAATCCTGGTCTTGCCAAACTAGAGTACTGGAATAACAGAGTGAACTGTGCTTCCTATGAGCAGTTTGCTCCAAGTGTAATTTGGAAGGGCAGAGCTACACATCCCTAGTTCCTTATTCTCAATTCATCAGTCAAAAAAATCACTATGCATGAGAGGATAGAGAGTTGCTACAAGTATTTTGCTGCCGGAAGTCTCTTTCCGTGGAAAATATCATTAAAAGCGGCACTTTTATTATATTTTGGGGGAAAGCCACCTATGTGTATGATCACTTTCCTCAGAGAGTGACATTTCTGATATTAATGCCTTCTTGCAAAGTTTATGTGGCAGAGATGACAGCTCCAATGAGCAGGTCTTTCTTGAGATACCTTTCTTTCCAATCCAACATATTCACAACTTCTTAATTTTCATCATTTATTTAGGCCTTGATATGCAGCTTCGACGGTGGGCCAGCTTTGCTTAAATGCTTTGTGTGGTGTCTTGCTATCTCTGCCGAGCATTTTCAGACCTGTGCCTCCATGACTGTTTCTCTTCCACTTGCTGTGGAATTGTTTAGACTGGTGAAACCTGGCCAATGGGGAGGTTGATCTCCCTCATGCATAACTAACTTGTCCCAAACCAACTGAGACTGCATTGTGTGGGATGATGACTCTTTAGCCTGTGGGCAAGCTGTATTAATTCAAGTTTAGCTGCTGCATAATTCCCTCTTTAGCCCTGATGCAGAATGGAAATTGGGGTAGCTAATTAAGTGCTTTCTACCTAGTCCAGGTACTGCCATCGTAATGTTAGAGCCTAACATGTATTCTATAGAGCAGGTGGAACTCAGCCTTCCAATATAAAGGCAATCAATACTGTCTTCCTCACCAATATCTACAGACTTCTCATTCTTCCTCAGCCTAGCCTATGTTGACAGACTGACCTCCGTAGTAACAGACCATGCTGTTCCAGATCAAGGTTGCTTCTGAAAAGCTTATTGCATGGAGAAATAGACACAGAAGGTATATTCTTTAGTCAGCCTGGCTCTCAGGAGGGAAGCAGGAAAGAAGGAGCTAGGATCTGCATGCTAAATTTCATTTTGCAGACCCACAAATTGGATTAAGGTATTTCTTTTTTTTTTTTTTTTTTTTTTGAGACTGAGTTTTGCTCTTGTTACCCAGGCTGGAGTGCAATGGCGCGATCTCGGCTCACCACAACCTCCGCCTCCTGGGTTCAGGCAATTCTCCTGCCCCAGCCTCCTGAGTAGCTGGGATTACAGGCACGCGCCACCATGCCCAGCTGATTTTTTGTATTTTTAGTAGAGACGGGGTTTGACCATGTTGACCAGGATGGTCTCGATCTCTTGACCTCGTGATCCACCTGCCTCGGCCTCCCAAAGTGCTGGGATTACAGGCTTGAGCCACCGTGCCCAGCGGATTAAAGTATTTCTTCTCTCCTGGAGAAGAGTGTGTCCTGCAGAGAGCTGAAGATAGCCTTTCACAAGGAGATATCCTTTCATAAGGAGAAAATACGAAGAGTAGAGTAAAGAGTTTCATCCTCCCTACCCCAATGAAAAAGTTCATCCCCATAGGCAAATGCTTCATCAAATGTGCTGTGTTACATGCAGCTCCTTTGTTTGATAAAACCATTGAGTAATGGCAGCTTCTTCATTAAATGGAGACGTTCCAATATTAAATTAGCAAATCAGCAAAAATTAAGTCAGAAGGCAGTAGAGACTGCCAGTTCAATTTAATTTTTTTACTTCAATTTATTTTTTAAAACCCCACAGAATCTTCCTTGCCTTTGCCTATTAGCCTTTAATAAAAGGAAAAAATATTTTTGAGTTTCTCCAAGTCAGGTGTGGTGTGGAAAGAAGAGTGTGAGGCTTAAAAGACAAAGTTGGGTATTGAATTCTGGCTCTGTTGTTTACTGGCTGTGCCACCATGGACAAGTAATTTAACCGTTTTAAACCTTAGCACTTTGAAAATAATAAGACCAAAAACTCGAGAATTAAATATATGTAAAGCACCCAACCCTGAGCCTGATACATAGTAAGTAGACAGTCAGTTCCTGGTAGTTACTGTCACCTTTTACTGCTATTGAAGGAAACCTGTCTGCTGGTACCCGCCTTGCATGAGGTTGGACCTGTGGGAGCAACCTTTGCTGCAAGTCTGCTCCTGTGCTGCATTGCGTGCCAGGAAGACTGGGAAGACTTGGCCTGATCAGCCTCTTGTGCTATGAACCAATGTCATGTCTCTTTTTTTTCCCCTCAACTCAGGTTAGAACACAGTGAATGGGATTCTGCCCGGACTCCTATCATTGGCTCCTGTGGCACTCAGGAGCAGGCACTGTTAATAGATCTTACAAGCAACAGTTGTCGAAGGGTAAGAAGGAAGAACGATAAAGAGAGGATGTTCTACTATCAGACAGGGCTGGCTATATTGGTAAGGAGCCGAGGAGAGGGAATGTGGAAGTCCTGCCACTGAGCAGCTGATGGGTCTAAGGCTGGAAGGGTGTAGAAGATTAGAAGAACCTGGTGGAATTTGCCAAGTTGTTGATTCTGAGACAACTTTCCTTTCAGGATACCCCTTTCTATAGTGGTTGGATCAGCTTTGCTTAAGTGCAAGATTACTAGGAGGGAAAGCAACATAGCTCTATAGCAGGCGTCCCCAAACTTTTTACACAGGGGGCCAGTTCACTGTCCCTCAGACCGTTGGAGGGCTGCCACATACTGTGCTCCTCTCACTGACCACAAATGAAAGAGGTGCCCCTTCCTGAAGTGCGGTGGGGGGCCGGATAAATGGCCTCAGGGGGCCGCATGTGGCCCGTGGGCCGTAGTTTGGGGACGCCTGCTCTATAGGGTGAAAACTCTCTGACTTTCACATTTTTCTTTCAGACCCGAAGTGGCGTTGGATGGAAGCGAGTCCTGCGTTCACTCTGTCATTCCCGGACCCGAGTGCCACTACTAGCAGCCATCTACTTTCTAATGATTCACGTCCTGCTCATTCTGTGTTTTACAGGCCATCTATAGACTTAGTTGTTACTCTTTGGACCACTCCCCTCAGAACTTGGAATTCTCTCACCTCTTAACATCAGAATTACCAATTCCAGTGGAACAGTCTTCCTATTTACAGGTCTCTCCAACTCTCCACGGAAAGTGCCTGCAAAAACAGAGGTGGATACAAGGACAGGTTGGAGCTGCAGGGACTGGCAAGTCTGCTTTCTTCTACTGCCCTGGGCCTGAACACTTCTGCTTAATCTGGGAATCACAGGTGGTTTGTTGAGCCTAATATTTGAGATTTTGCAGGACCCTGATCTTTTGTGGTCCTGTAAAAGATACTGAGGAATGTCTTTTAGCCGAGCCAAGAAGATGGTTTCAATAAACCTAATAATATGAAGTCCAGTATCATTTTGATTGATAACTTTCTTTGCCTTGTTTGCATGTATTTTCTTTTGTTTCAGGGGGAAGGTGGCTTTTCCATAAACAAAGTTCAGGGAAATGAACACACCACCTCATAGAACATCTGATTTAGGTCTCTTGCAGAATAGGGTGAGAGCTGAAGGAAATCTCCAGGGGTTTTAGCTATTAGATCACAGGGGAGGACAGCATTTTCTTCCCTGCCAATTTTAGAAATAATTAGAGGGAGAATTTCTGGTCCTGGAGTGTAGAGACAGAATCCCCCTTGCTTTTGCCATTAATCACATGTACACTAAGGTATTGAGTGGCCCACATCTTTTCTTTCACCAAAAGGCAGTGAGAACTGTCTATGTACAGCAGGTTCCAATTCTTGTCATTCCAGGAATATCTGGATATTCCTGGAATGTGGGCCCTGAGACAGTGCCCAGGGGCCACCAGGAGCCGGTATTAGGCATTGACTCTCATCTAAGAGTCTGACTGATCTGACCACATTGCAACTCCTGGCCTCTTGAAGTACTAAACTACTTTGCTGTTAGTGACATTTATTTCAGTTTCTCAGCCCCATTGTTTCTGCCTTCTGTGGTAATGGAAGGAGAATATAGAGAAGATTAAATGTTTAAATATAGACCCAAGAAGGACAGCCAGGATTGAATTCCATTTGTGCCTATTCCCTGCCTCCCCCAGCTCCCCTGTCCTATCAGTTGGTTATTTTCTTATTGTGTATGTGATGTGTTTACTGCCTATTCTCTCCCTAAGGAAGAGACCAGTGGGCTGACTGATCTGCTCTAAATCATCTGTGGTGATTGAATCTTGATCATAACATTCTGGGAACTTTTCTGAACAACTGTAAAATAATAAAATTATTTTCAGAATGAAGAGTGTGTGTGTGTGTGTGTGTGTGTGTGTGTGTGTGTATGAATATGTGCACAGTTGCTTAGGTACCTGTGTTTGCATGCTGGGGGGTGGAAGGTGGGTAAGGGAAAGTAGGGATGGAGGTAGCCAGGAGTGGTTACAGGGGTAGAAAGCTCTGCATATTCAGGCTTTCTTCTCACTGACCAGTATCAGTGATAGATGCATGCATTCATTCAGCCTTAGCTGCTAGACTCCGGTGATGAATGCAGTGAGGAAATTCTGTCCTAATACTGAACCAAATAGGCTGGGCCTTATGGCATGAAATTGATGCACGTCCATGCATGGTCCTGGGAAAACTCTTGTCTGGCACATACTGAAAACATTAGGCCCCTAGGGATCCCTCTGGGTGGGAATGGGAGAAGAGAAGCTTAATAGCATGCAGCAGGTTAGATAGGCATTATTATGGTTTTTTATGTTAAGTTGCTGCTTGAGAAAAGCTGGCTCACTTTCTCAAGGTACAGTAAGTGTTTTAATTGAACCAAGTCTATCTGGCTTCAAGGCCCATTCTATTTCTGTATGATATACCTCACTACCTCATCAGTAATGAACTTGTGACATTTGCTAAGGAAAGATGGGCTTCTTGGTGTCATCTGTGATGAATTTCTATGGTTTCTCTAGATAACTATGTACCTGGATGGTATGTCACAATATCTAGTCTAATTTCTGTTTTGACACTACATGAGGATTCCAAGTGATTTTAAAAGACTATTTTCCCTTCTACAAATGTACTCTTCCTTACTATAACTTTGGTGCCAGCATGATAAATAAGTAATAAAGTAGGAGAGATAAATAAAGCTCCCCCAGGCATAGAATCCTTAGATTGGGAAGTGACAAACTTCATATTCCTAATGCAGAAAAGTGCTTGTATCATGGGCCAGTTTCATCCACTCCTGCATAAACTCCTTGGAGAATGCACCATTGTGAGCAAATTAAGAACTCCACAATCAAGATTAGGAGAGGCTAGGTCAGATAAAATAACAAGACACTCAAATTCTCAGTAGCCAAAACAAAGGACTACTTTAAAAGACGGTAAGACTCCAATTCCCTCACAAGATGGATGGGTCTCCACTTGTGTTCTTTCTCACTCAGGGACCCAGGGGAGGAGGAGGTGCTCTGGAGAATTGCAGGTTGCCTTAGGCATTGGTGAAAGAGCATGGCAAAGCTTGCAGTGTTTATAAGATCTCCACTAGAAAGTGGTATCTATCACTGGCCGAAACAAGTAACCTGAGTGAGTCTGACTTCAAGAGGGAAGGGAGAGGCAGCAAGTCTTGACCTTCAGTAAAGCAGAATACCACAGAGACCTTCCATCCATTGACCAGCACCTGGTTCTTTTCAGAATTTTTGCTACTATCTGGAGTCTTGTTTGTTAGCTCAGACTCCACACTGCCTCAAACAAGCTAGGAACCTTTCTCTCTCCATATCTTGCCTTTTCCCTCATGAGTTATTCCCTTCTGGTTTTCAATTGATCAATGTTTATTTGAACATCTATATGAAAACCCTGCTTTTAAATGCTGTGGATAATGTAGGAGTGAGTTTAAGTCTCATGCTTCAAAATCCACATATAAATCGTTTTTCCCATAAAGCCTTTCTTGATGACTACAGCCCATACCAAGTGTTCTGAATTCCTTTACTGTCTCAAATGTAACTGCCCCTCTATTTAGGACAGTGCTGTTCTACAGCATTTTGTAATGTGTTTTCTTGTTGAATGTTTGTTTCTCTCACTGAATTACAAACTCAGAGTCAAAGCAGTATTTCCTATGACTGCTCTATGACCCTCACTGTCAAAACATTGCAAAAGACCAGGCACAGAAGCGTTTAATCCTTTTTAAACTTAAGTGTCTAAAGAAGAAGGAACTGACAAACTTCAGGAAGTAGCTGTGAGGATGGGGTGGCAGGAAATGACAAAAGCCTGAATACGGAACTGAAGCGGCAGCTCAGTTTCTCACTCCAAAGTGGCAGCAGCCAGAGAGGGAGTCGGTGTGGACGTGAGGAGCCGGACGCTTAGAACAGAGGCTCGCACAGGTGGAGGTAGGTACTCTGAGCCATGGGACGGTCGGGAAACAGGGCAAGAGTTGAGGAGAAACCTACCTGGCTCTTAGTCCTTGGTAAGGGGTAAGGTCACCGCTAGTAGGCTTTTATCCTTTTATGGCCAGAAGGCCTGATAGTGAGTGGTTGTAGCGAATCAGCAACTGGAGATGGAAACAGAAGGGAGGGGCTTAAACACAAGGCAAATGATTCAGGAGCCATCTAGCACCAAGACCAAGTAAATCATTGCCCGATTTCTGCTGACGGTCTACAACCCACTCTAAGGCCTGTCTCCCCTAGGTACTGAGTTGGGAAGAGGACCACAGAAGATGAAATCAGTGTCTGCCCTTGAAAAGCATTATGGTCTCACAGGGAAACAAACCCACATAGGAAATGTAACAGATCAGGAAGTAGCCACTGATGTACACCAGTGCTGGGTACCAAGTGCTGATGGAGCCCGAGAGAAGGCATGATTGTTCTGCTCGGGGTTGGTTTCTGTGATTGTAGATCACAGAATCCCAGAATGTTAGAAATCCAGGAAACTTTACAGATTAGCTAGGTTAAGCCCTTCATTATTTTCCACTGAAGAAACCAGAGATAGTCACTGATTTGCAAATTGTTACAGTATTTATTAATCGCCCGATCCGGTAGCTGCCAAATGAGTACCTACTCTATGTTGATGCCCTTGCGATGGTCCCTCAGAGGCATAGTCACAGAGCTAGGGTGACAGCCAGGGCTTCCAACTCCCAGTCCATGTATTTTGATGCAGTAGGTCAGCATCGCAGCAAGGCCTCATAAGATTACTCTCTGGTTCCCACCTTTAGGTAGTACTTCTTACCTTTCTGGTTTCTGGTCAGTAGGTCAGGAATATTAGATAAATTGTTTCTGTTTCAGAAACTCTTCTCTTTATTTCAAAAATGGGTGAATGGGAAAATCAGGCTGACACCTCAGAGGAGCTGCAGGAAAGAGGATGGGACCATCAGTCCTCATTGCTTCCTCATTGCTCATGACTATTTCAGAAACTTCTCCTTTCCGGTGTTCTGTGTGACAGTCCTTTTGTTGCACAGCAGCCCAGGAGCCAGGGAATGAGAAGCAGAGTGTTTGTAAGGATTCAGGATTCTAAGTCTTGTTTAGCTGTCCACAACCACATCAGACTGAAAGCCTGACTCACGGCTGACTTGGTCAATATCTCTCCAGTGTTTCCTTAGCATCTCTTTAACTAATTTACCCCAGACTTCCTCTGGGCTGGTTTTTAGGGGGTTGCTCAATGGAGAAGATGGTGTTTTCAAGTGGAAATAGAAAACTGGCAAATCTGAAGGCCTAGGTGGAGACAGAAGAACCCTAAGTAGTAGTTGTCAAGGGATTCTCAGGAGACAATGCAGAGCATGGGGAAGGTCTCCAATGGGATGAGGTGTCTGAGGAGGGAAGGGTTGCCAGCTAACAAGTGGTGCCAGGGCCAAGAAGTCTCAGTGGCCACCACAGCAGATGAGCGTTTTCTGTTGTTACTTCTTCACACCAAAGTCCACAGATGCAGAGCAACTGTGCTGCTCTTTCTTTTGCACAGTCTGGAAGACCGACTGGAACACTGGGGATGGCCTAGCAGAATAACAGTTTGACACCTCTCCAAACTAGTGTTCTCTAAATATGTCTGCAGATAAAAATGGAATACCTCTTAATGTTCAAAATAAGGTTTATTGTATATTATTTTTTTCTTTTCTGCAATAGTCAACTTGAAAACCTATTTTTTGAACTACTTTTCCTTAGAAATATAATTGAACTATTTTTTAAAAATTGAGTAAGAAATGACTTATTCCCAGCAAATAACACTTTCCCATGCATTGCTCAGGGTGGAAATTTCAGCCGAATGTCCCTACTGACATTACACAGCTGTCCGAGGTGACCAGTCTAAGGGTGGAGGTGGGACAGCACTTGGACTGGAGGCTGGAAAAATTCTCAGTATAGTTAAGCAGGTTGTAGAGAGGGATGTAGATGTTCACTTTGTCAGAACCTGAACCAATTTGTATTTCAACAGTGACAAAGGAATCGTATATAGAAACCTGAGTGAAATGAGGCCATAATTCTAGGGATATTATAGCACCCCTCATTGCCAACCACCTCCAGCCACTGCCTGGCTGGCCTCAGGACGCAAGTGAACAATTCCAGCAATTTTGACTCGTGGGTTACCTAGTGTTACCCACACTCATAATGACTTCTCTCTAGCCACAGGTAGGCCCAGGCCACATCAATTTGACTTGATGAAATCCCCATCTTTCCTCTTGTAACTGAGCAGAAAAGCCTTCTTATAATTCCCATTTGCTTTGCTTCACTTTCTATTTTTTTCTAAGAAAAAAAATGGCAGGAAATATTGGGCTGCTATATTTTGACTTCAGCATTCTTATTTTTCCTCCTCTTGATTCTTTTTGTCCCAATTATTCCCATCTCCTGTCACTCTCAGATGTGGAAGTCTGTAGTGGGCCATGATGTGTCTGTTTCCGTGGAGACCCAGGGTGATGACTGGGACACAGATCCTGACTTTGTGGTGAGTTTGGAAGCAGCTGTGCTTGGACAGTGCAGAGGGTGGGACATCTGGGCCACTCTGTGACTTTTGAGGATGCTTAGAAAAGAGACTTCTGGGACTGAGACAGCCCTCATAGTGGGATGGGTTGGTAGGACAGTTGGCCATCATGCATGGGGCATGCACAAGAGCAGGTATCAGGGATGAAAGGAGACAGACGTGGGGGAGTTTGACAGTATGACTGACAGGCCATGACAGGCTATACTGAAGGTGAGAAGCAGGTGAACCTGGGTCTTCCCTGGTCCATGATCCAGGATCTAAGCTGGACATGTGTGAATGGGGGAATTGAAAAGTTGTAGGAGACCAGATGGGATAGGCATGAAGTATGCAGAGGAGGAATGGAGGTTTCAGAACTCACTAGTTTAATTTTTTGTGGTTTTTTTGTTTGTTTGTTTGTTTTGAGACAGAGTCTCACTCTGTCACCCAGGCTGGAGTGCAGTGGTGCTATCTCAGCTCACTGCAACCTCTGCCTCCCAGGTTTAAGTGATTCTCCTACCTCAGCCTTCTGAGTAGTCCCTGTAGCTGGGACTACAGGCACATGCCACCACACCTGGCTAATTTTTGTATTTTTTTGGTAGAAGTGGAATTTCACCATGTTGGCCTATTTGGTCTAGCACTCCTGACCTTAAGAGAGCCACCTTCCTCAGCCTCCTAAAGTGCTAGGATTACAGGCATGAGCCACTGCACTGGGCCTCACCAGTTTAGTTCTTACATGGGGTCGGGATGGGATAAACATAGAGGGGGTGTGAATAAAGACCCAGGCTGAAGAAGGCAGTGGACATGGGATGTGGAAGCATGTGTCAGTTGTGTGGCCCTTTTCAGTGTGGCACATTTCTTGCCATGATGTATTACTGAGTGCTGTTGTTTGCAGAATGACATCTCTGAGAAGGAACAACGGTGGGGAGCCAAGACCATCGAGGGCTCTGGACGCACAGAACACATCAAGTAGGTGCCAAAAGGACTGGGGAAAATGAAGGGGGTTATGGGAAGAGCTCAAAGAAAATTCAGAGACTTGGGGGAAGGTGAGGGAGGAAAAGGATAGGGTAGTTCATGTCTAGGTATTATTGTGTTTGTTTTTTTCTGGAGTCTATTCCTGTGTGTACCCGTGTGTGTCATTGCGTATTACAATAAGATACCCTCTTATCCTCCTCAACCCTATCTTCTGTCTTTTCTATCTAACAACTCTGCTATTTCCCCAAGTGGGTCTATTGTATTAACTGCCTCCCTTCCTTTAGTAAGGCGTGAGAGATTCAGAGAGGAAGTGGCCCAAATACTAAGCTTTTCTCTATCTATCTGTCTGGCAATCATTTATCACCTATCTATCTCTTTAGATAAATATAAATGTGTGTTTAGAATTCAGGGTGACTTCCTTCAGATGGGCTGAGAACAATTAAGTACAATGTCAAGGTGAAGAGCTCAGAATAAATGCTATAAAAAGAGGACACTTCAGCTCCCATACCTGGCCCAAATAACTTTTAAAATACAAATTTGTACTTAGCTGTCAGAAGTTGGAAGCCATGAATGGTTGGAAAACCTGTTGATAAAAGCTATTTTGGCAATGATGTTCAGGGATCTTTAAGATTACAGCCCCATATGCATTTTACCAGAAACAAACAAACAAAGCCCTCTGATATCAGAAGATAAAAGGAACTTTCAGACTCTCCAGGGGTTTCTGTGGGATGTGTCACATATTCAGGCTGAGAGATCCCCTCCTCTCTTCCATGGATTATTCAGGATCATCTAACCAGGACCATCTGCTTTGGGTAATATCAGAATGTAAAACATTAGTAGCAAGATAGACAATAAATACTATAATGAGCAAAAAATTCAACAACTAAGCACAAAATGGCAATATTAATACCGTTTTAAGCTCCATTTTTAACTCCTCCCACTGTACCCTAACAGCATTGTTTTTACCTCTAGATTTAAAAAAGTGTCAGTGGGTGACCACATTGCACAAGCAGCACATTGTGAAAGCCTGGCACATACAATTGGATGACAGTAGCACAGTGTTTAATCAGAAATAAATGGTTTTGGCCAGGCACAGTGGCTCACACCTGTAATCCCAGGGCTTTGGGAGGCCAAGGAAGGTGGATCACTTGAGGTAAGGAGTTGGAGACCAGCCTGGCCAACATGACGAAACCCTTTCTCTACTAAAAATACAAAAATTAGTTGGGTGTGGTGGTGGGCACCTGTAGTCCCAGCTCCTTGGGAGGCTAAAGCATGAGAATCACTTGAACCCGAGAGGTGCAGGTTGCTGTTAGTAGAGACTGCACCAGTACACTCCAGCCTGGGCAATAGAGTGACACTCAGTCTCAAAAAAAAAAAAAAAGAAAAAAAATGACTGAATGAATAAATAAATACTTTCAATTGAGTAGCTATAATATTATTAAACAATCCATGCAATTCTGGAAACAGATTGAAACAATGGAACAGGGTCATTCAGGACGCTTCTGTGATACTCCTCTCTAGACTCATAGATCAAAAAAAAAAAAAAAAAAAAAAAAAAAAGACCCTTTTGCTTTTCTGAATAAAGGCCACTCAGCACTAGTATTCTGGGAACTGTTAAAATGGGGATACACACTTCGTACCTTTTTTCTCCCAGTGCCTGTTTCATATATAGGAGGTAGGAGTAGAATATTTTAAGGAAGACTCCTAAATTTCTGCCGTAATCTTATGGAAAGAGCTTGAATTTGGATATCAGATAGATTTAGATTCAATTCCTGACTCTGCCACTCTTAGCAAAGTGAATTTGGTCACATAACTTTTTTGAACCTCAGGCTTTTATCAAACGGGGATAAGAATAGCAACCCTAGCTTGCACAGTGGTGGTATCATAGCCAATGAGGTTTATCTGAGGTGTGATTACTGCTAATTGAAAACTTTTCCCAACACTCTGCTGTGATGACTTGCAATATAGTAGACATTGGGGAAAAAGAAAAAAAATAGCAACCCTAATAAAAAAATGAAGTAACTAAAAAGAAAAAAAAATAGCCACCCTGAAGATATATAGTTAGAATTCAATGGAATAGCCAAGGTCTAGTGCAGTACTTAGCACTTCTGAGCAGCTCAGTGATGTTAGTTTTGTTTCCTGTTAATATAGGTTAGTTTAATCAGATTTCCTTTCTAAAATCTAACAAACATGTAAACAGACAGCGGCCCTCTTTTGTCCTAAGTGTGTTTACCTGGACTGTTACAGCACAACTCCTGTATACAAATCACTGACTGGTGCTCCCTGGAGTTGTACAATGCAGTGACCCTGAACGCTTCCTTGTTAACCTAGCTGAATCTATCAGATAGAATAAATGTTGCATATATTGACAAACAAACAAACAAACAAAAAACCCTTACTCATCTTTCATTTACCAAACCTGGTATCTGCTGGTAACAGACCAGGTGACCTTAGACAAAAGAGACTTAGACAAGTCTCTTTTCTTCTCTGATTCTCATTTTGCCCATCTGGATCAAAGAGACCTCTAGAAGACTTTTCCAGTAGTAAGTCTCCAAAATTTTGGGATTCTCTCTGGCTAGTGTGGGCTAAGCCAGTCTTCATATGATGGGAATCACCATGGTCCTTGGAAAGGAGGGGGGAAATTGGAGAGGAGAACAGTAGCTGTAGATTCTAACACTGACAGATCCCAAAATGAAAAAATAATAATTAAAAAAAGAACAGTAGCTGTAGAGCTGAGATGACTAAAAGCAGGAAACGGAAGTATTGCAGTTCTTACTAATCTTACTACCTTTCCCCACACTGGGATGTCTCTTTTTAGGTCTGTCTCAAATAAATTAAGTTTGGGTAGTAATTTGGTAATTCAGTGAATAACTCAAATAGTCTTATCCATTCCTTATCTATTCTGTAAAGAAACTGCCTGGTTTTCAAGAACTGTCACCCTTCCCTCCACCTTCTTTCCTCCACTCTTGACCATTCATTCTCAAGACTCAAGGGTGTATTTTCCCTTGACCAGTTTGTTTATCTTCAAACCTGTCACACACTGATACTTTTATAAAATAAAATAAAATAAAATAAAATAAAATAAAATTGAATTTCTGGAAAAATAAATGGGAAAAAATAAGACAGACAGTACAAACACTATTTTTATTTTAAAATTCCAGCAGATACAAAAATCATAATGTTGTCAAGCATGCTGGTCTGTTCCTGTAGACCCAGCTACTCAGGAGGCTGAGGCAGGAGGATCATATGAGTCCAGGAATTCTGGGCAATAGTGCTCTATGCTGATTGGGTCTCCATGTTAAATTCTGAATTAATATGATGCCCTCCCACCTCCCAGGAGTAAGGGACCACAGGTTGCCTAAAAAGGGGTGAACTGGCCAAGGTCAGAAATGGAGCAGGTCAAAACTCCAGTGCTGATCAGTAGTGGGACTGTGTCTGTGAGTAGCCATTGCACTCCATCTTAGGCAACACAGTGAGACTCCATCTCTAAAAAAGAAAAAGGAAAAGAATAAAATCACTATGTCAAATTGCTATAAAAGTTTCTAAACACATATTCTCAGTTTTTCTTCTTATTTCTCTATGAAACAGAAACAGTTCAGCTTGTGGACCACACACTGAATGGCACCACTCTGGAATAATCTTTCAGCACTTCCTGGAACCTGTCTGGCCTTTAGATTAAATATTTACTGTGCTATAACCATAGGATGTCTGCCTCAGTGGCCCTGTCCACTTTCTTGTGCCCTGATATTTTATAGCAAATGGAAATAAAGAATGGTGTGGTGCCAAGAATATTGAAATAGAATTCTGGAGCTCTAGGGACTAGTTCCAGCTCTGCTATAAAAGGGCTCATACTGCTGAAGAGAGTAATAATATTTTGCCATTCTATCTTGATTTGCAGTGGTGACTGGAGATTATAGTATCATCCCTGTTTACCTCACAGGGGTACTGGGGAGAGCCATGGCTATGCCTTAAGATTAATGGCCAATATTTATTAAGCTATTATATGTCATGCAAAACACTAAGTATTTTTTCAAAACAACCCTATATCATAGATGATGTTGCCATCCTGATTTCACAGAAAAGTGAATGGATATATTAATGTTTAGTAATTTGTTCAAGGATACAGAGAAACAATTTGAGCACCCCAATCCAAAAATTCAAAATCTAAAATGTCCCAAAATCTGAAACTTTTTGAAAGCCCATGATACCACAAGTAGAAAATTCCACACCTGATTACATGTGATGGATCACTGTCAAAATGCAGGTGCACAACAGCTTTTTCAGTATCCCTAAGGGAAAAATAAAGTTACTTCCATTTATTTAGATCTTCTTTAATATTTTCCTTAGTATAGTGTATATGACACACAAATGAATTTCACGTTTAGACATGGGTCTCGTTCCCAAGGTATCTGATTATATGGATGCAAATATTCCACAATCTGAAAAAATCCTAAATCCAAAACATTTCTGGTCCTAAGCATTTTGGATGAGGGATACTCACTGTAGTAATTTGAATTCGGCTCGGTCTGACTCCATGAGCTGAAATCTTAACCATTATATCATATTGTTTTTGTCTCATAAACAATATTGTCAATAATTCTCTTATTGAAATAAAATACTAATTCCCATGAGCTAAACTATTGCCATTCCCTAAGGTTGCTTGCTATTATGTTTACAATGACAAAATACTTTATAAGTTGGCCTTAATAATACTACAGTCACTTCATAAACCTCTTTACGAATGCCCAAAGTCTCTTTCATTTAATGTTTTCTCCACTTTATTATTTTTCAAAAATTAACATGTTTTTTTTTTTTTTTTTTTTTTTTTTGAGACAGAGTCTTGCTCTGTCACCTAGGCTGGAGTGCAGTGGCGTGATCTCGATTCACTGCAAACTTCGCCTCTCAGGTTCAAACGATTCTCCTGCCTCAGTCTCCTGAGTGGCTGGAATTACAGGCGTCCTCCACCATGCCTGGCTAATTTTTATATTTTTGGTAGTGACAGGGTTTCATCATATTGGCCAGGCTGGTCTTGAACTCCTGACATTGTGATCAACCCACCTCAGCCTCCTGAAGTGCTGGGATTACAAGTGTGAGCCACCATGCCCGGTCACTTTTTCATTTTATTAATGGCATCTTATTAAGAGAAAAAGATCTTAATCCTGATAAAGTCTAATTTATGGGAAAAAAAACTTATGGGGCTAATGCTTTACGTGTCTAAGAAATATTTACCCACCCAAAAATTGTGAACACTTTCTTTGATGTTTTGTCCTAAAGGACTTATAGTTTTAGATTTCACATTTAAGGCCGGGCACGGTGGCTCACACCTATAATCCCAGCACTTTGGGAGGCCGAGGCGGGCGGATCAAGAGATCGAGAGCATCCTGGTCAACATGGTGAAACCCTGTCCCTATTAAACATACAAAAAAATTAGCTGAGCACAGTGACGCGCACCTGTAGTCCCAGCTACTCGGGAGTCTGAGGCAGGAGACTCGCTTGAACCCAGGAGGCGGAGGTTGCGGTGAGCCGAGATTGCACCATTGCATTCCAGCCTGGGTAACAAGAGTGAAAACTCCGTCTCAAAAAAAAAAAAAAAGATTTCACATTTAAGTCTATGATCCATTTCAAGTTGTTTTTTCTGTGCAGTGTGAGGACAAGATTGAGGTTCTTTTTTTTTTGCATGTGATTATTTCGTTGTTCAGTACTATTAGAAGAGTATACTGTTCCCATGGACTTACCTGGCATCTTTGACCACATACACGTGGGTCTGTTTCTGGACTCTATTCTGTTCTCTTGATCTGTTTTCTCTGCTGACAGCATATCATACTGCACTGATAATTGTAGCTTTATGCTAAGTCAAGAAATCATGTAGTTTTCAACTTTGCTGTCCTTTAAAAAAGAAAAAAAGAAAGAAAGAAAAAAAAAGAAATAGGCCAGGCACGGTGGCTCATGCCTGTAATCCCAGCACTTTGGGAGGCCGAGGTGGGCAGATCATGAGGTCAGGAGTTCGAGACCATCCTGGCTAACACAGTGAAACCCCGTCTCTACTAAAAATACAAAAAATTAGCTAGTCATGGTGACACACTCCTGTAGTCCCAGCTACTTGGGAGGCTGAGGTGGGACAATTGCTTGGACCTGGGAGGCGGAGATTGCAGGGAGGTGGAGATTGCAGTGAGCCGAGATTGGACCATTGAACTCCAGCCTGGGTGACAGAGCGAGACTCTGTCTCAATAATAATAATAATAATAATAATAATAATAATAATAATAAAAAAAGACCTGTTTAGAATGACTTCAGCTATAACCTAAAGAAGAAGTTGGTTTTCTTTGGGCCTTAACAATTTCATTCAAATTATATCATCTATTAGTATGATCACCTGACTAGTCTTTCTGTTATCCATTAGATGAATGTCCCTGAATATCATTTTCTAATCCCTTTCAAAACTTGTTTTAACTATAATATACTTATAGCCCATTTAACAATAATTATACTCATTAAAAATTTGCAGATTTTTTTCCATTTGAAAGTAAATTTTGGCACCAGTTTTTCGTCTTTCATCTGAATACTTCAGCTGGAAGATATTGGGCAGTCATTTACATGTCCTTGGTACCAGTAGCTTTTGACAGTGTTGGTGTTGAACTAACAACACAAGATCTCTGCTTTCATTGTTGCCAGAGAGTTTAGAGGAGGCATGGGAACAGGGGGTTCTTCCAGCACTTAGCTTAATTTCATCTGATTCATAGCCAGCTTTCTAAAATTAACTGTGGCTAAAGCTGGGACGGCTTTTTTTTTTTTTTTTTTTTTTTTTTTAAGATGGAGTCTTTGCTCTGTCTCCAGGCTGGAGTGCAGTGGCATGATCTCGGCTCACTGCAACCTCTGCCTCCCAGACTCAAGCAATTCTCCTGCCTCAGCCTACCGAGTAGCTAGGACTGCAGGCGTGTACCACCACGCCCAGCTAATTGTTTGTATTTTCAATAAAGTCAGGGTTTCACCATGTTGGCCAGGATGGTCTCGATCTTTTGATATCATGATCCACCCACCTCAGCCTCCCAAAGTGCTGGGATTATAGGCGTCAACCACCATGCCTGGCCTAGAAGACTTTTTAAAAGACCTTTAATGGAATTATCCACTAAAGGCCACCAGATGGATCTATTCTTCCATAAAAGAAGACAATTTCTGCTATGAGACAACCATTCTATATATAATCAATGTGTCTGGTTGTCCTGAGCTGGTGAAGTCCCAGTAACCTCACTATCTCACCACCTAAACCCTCACTGCTTGCTGCAGAAAGTCAAATCTCTTATTTAGGGTTCTCTTGCCCAAATGTTTCCAAGAATCCCTAGATCCTTATATATGTCCAAGTAACAGATCTGATTGCCACTTGTTGCTGAGCGATCACTTCATATCCTCAAGCCAAAGAGGTTGGCTGAGATGGCTCTCCATCCTCTCAAGTGTTGCAGTCACCTTGATGGTAAAGATGGAAGTAGGTGAGAAGTAAGAATACCTTTTTTGGTGTTACTTTCTCTTAGGGATAGAGGTGTCCCTTCAAATCAGAATCATTTGAGCCTTAAAGTGTTATAGCAATTCTTGTGAGTGGATTTTGTTAGTTAGTTTTCATTAGTTATTAGTTTTCTCAGGAATCATCAGCCTGTGGAGAGAGGACAGAAGATCTTAATTCATGACCAAAAAGTATAAAAAATACTACTAATGTATAAGTAAATTTTCCCAATGCTGTTTTTATAAGCATTATTTTTAATGATCTAGTACGCTAATGAAAGGTAATATTTCAATTTATTTAACAATTATCCAACCATTGGGCATATAGATTGTGGTTTTTTTGTTTGTTTGTTTGTTTTTTGCGATGGAGTTTCGCTCTTGTTACCCAGGCTGGAGTGCAATGGCACGATCTCGGCTCACTGCAACCTCCGCCTCCTGGGTTCAGGCAATTCTCCTGCCTCAGCCTCCTGAGTAGCTGGGATTACAGGCACGTGCCACCATGCCCAGCTAATTTTTTGTATTTTTAGTAGAGACGGGGTTTCACCATGTTGACCAGGATGGTCTTGATCTCTTGACCTCATGATCCACCCGCCTGGGCCTCCCAAAGTGCTAGGATTATAGGCTTGAGCCACCGTGCTCGGCCCAGATTGTTTCTTAGTTATTGCTATTATATACAATGCTTTGGTGAGCATCATTAGACATTAAGCTTTGCCATATTTAAAGTCATTTCCTGGTGTAGATTCCTAGGACTAGAATGTGTAGGTCCAATGGTATGTGAATATTTTTCTGCTTTTTGAGACAGATCATCTAATCAATAGAAAGCAGATCCATTCAGAAAAGAACATTCCAGTTATCAGAATATAGGTATCATTGTCCTCTAATATTTAAAAACATGAAAAATGTGACTGAAGATCAGAAGGTTATTTTACTGAGCAAAATAGCAGACTAGAGGAAATATTATTGGCCTATGGAGAGTTTAGATCAGGCTATGGTATGCAGGCCAGACTGATCTCTTACTTCTAGACCCATTACTAGTATATTTTGGGGGCTCAAGTTATTACTAAAAGTAAACAGAACAGATTTCAAGACTTCCATTTTTCTGGGAGGATGGGTTTGTTGACCTCCCTGGGATACATGAGCCTTGGTCATGTGCTTTCTTCCAGCATCCACCAGCTGAGGAACAAAGTATCAGAGGAGCATGATGTTCTCAAGAAGAAAGAGATGGAGTCGGGACCCAAAGCATCCCATGGCTATGGAGGTCGGTTTGGAGTAGAAAGAGACAGAATGGACAAGGTTAGTTGAAAGAGAAAGATTTGCTTTTAAAAAAAAAAAATATATATATATATATATAAATACATATTTATATATAATTGTATATTTATATAACATAGACATATGTATAACTATATAATATAGAATTATAAATAAATATAAACATAATAGAATTATAAATGTAAATATAATATAAATTTATAAGTATATATTATACCTATATGCTACAATATAGGTATATTATAAATGTATAGTTTGTTCATAAATATATATAATTAAATATTATATAAATATATAATATTTAAGTATATATAAAATATTTCACTAGAACACCCAGATACTTTTGTTCTAGATCAGAATATATATATTTTGACTCATTTATTGGCTCATGAGTTAAAACTCATTCAAAAGTACAGTATTCATTTGGTCTCTTAAATAGAATGTCCATATGTTATTTGTATCCAAATTTTCTGATCTCAACACACAAGATATACATGGCAGAAAATAAGAGTCAAGATATTAGAACTGCTGGCCTGTTGTAGCCCCAACCATACTGTAACTCCTAGACCAAGAAGGCAGGGAGTCTAAGTGGAGGACAAAAACATATGTTTTAAAATCATTCGCTGCTTTTAAATGTTTATGTATTCTATGTTGTAACTTCTCTTTATTATTTTCTTTACTGTGTATTTAGTGATTTTTTTGTATATACGTTCTACATCACATATTATATAAAACCTGAGAGTTCACTTCTGAACTTTGATGGCCATACAGGAGCAAAGATCTAGAACAAAAGCACTGGCTCTCCTAGTGAAATATTCAATCCCGGGCATGGCATCCAGTCAGTCCCCTTGGTCTCTCCTCCATACTACCCCTACTTCTGTTCTGCCGCACAATGCCCTTGTTTTAGCTCTTTTTGTTTCTGGTTTAAACACTGCTCTGTCTACCTAGTCTCTATCCCTTGGTTCCCAGCCCATCCTATGGCAGTGTTCAGAATGAAGACTTCCTAATGGTATTAAAGAAGAACAGGCGTGAGCAGGTCTCCAGAAAAAATCTCCTTTCTCCCATCACATATTCCTTGGCACCACTGTCAGAGGCCGTACATCTAACCCAGAATGGAATTTCTTACATGCCTACATCTCACTCCGTATCTGTGTTTATTTTTTCTTTTTTAAATCAGTTTTGTCTTCTATTTAACTCATCTGAATGTATTTATTTTTTAAGGTCATTTTTATCATTTCAGTCAGTCCATCCTTGATTTTTCTCAGAGTGCAGTGGGCCATGAGTACGTTGCTGAGGTAGAGAAGCACTCTTCTCAGACGGATGCTGCCAAAGGCTTTGGGGGAAAGTACGGAGTTGAGAGGGACAGAGCAGACAAGGTAAGTGACAACTCTGTCTCCCCACCATCCACCTCAAGTCATGTAAAACGTGCCCACACTCACCCCTGGATGTAGGCCCATGCTTCTTTGTTGAAAGACAGGGCAGTGGATGCTGTGAGGACCTGACACCATTATAGGGATACCTCCCTCAGCAAGTTCCTTGGTGCCAATGTTGGAAACCACACACTGAGCTGAAAGACAGTGATTCAAATAAGGAGAAGACTCTCAAACTGTCTGTTTGAATAAGGAATTCCTCAAACCCCTGGTTTTTATTATACTCATATGCATGAAGATAAAACAGAGAATCAGCAAAACTCTTTTGGCTTAATATCAAAACCTTATAAATACTCATGCCTTTTAGGAAAACAGAGTTTATGTTATTACCAGGGCAGCAAATAATCAAGCTAAACAACTATTTAGGGTTACAATGTTTTTAAGAAAGTAACAGTTACTATTTACAGGACCTAGCATCAATCTCCGAAGTCCAGGTATTTTTAAAGACTGCTTTGTACAAAACAAAACAAAATGTTGTTTTAAAGAGAAAAAAAAAGTACAGTATCATTACAGCAGTGTATTGTTGACAGGAGAGTAAGATTGATAACTCATTGATGTGTTTAGCTCCATGCCTCATTAGGTCGGATTCTTTGAACTTATTTTTCATGGTTCAGAATGGTGTCTCCTCCCTTGCAGCTGCACACAGAGGGAGGACATCTCCTTTACAGCTAGCTAAGATGTTTTCTTTTTTCTTTCTTTTTTTTTTTAACAAACAGTTGTTAATTAGGTGGGCATGAATCCTTAAAGCTAAGTTCTAGAACATTAACTGTTTGCATCATAGCGGGGGAAAAACCATGAAAAACAAAACCAGGAAAGTTTAAAACATACTATAAAGCCAAGGGAAGACGTAGAAGGACATTTTTAAAGGCAATAGTGGAATATGGAGCATGCAATGTTCTAGAATCAGGATGGAATTCCCTGTTCCATCTTGGTCGCCCTCCTGCCTGACTTTACGTAATCTCTGATTCTTACATCTTTTGCTCACAAGCCGCAAATGGAATCACCCAGTCAGTGTGTCATGTAAATCAAGAAACAATATGTTAATGAGTTCTTAAGATGCAAAAACCCAGACTTGCTTAGAGACCCATAGTTCCTGAGCTAGATGGAGAACAAAGCTCCAAAACTCTGTGGTAATGTTAGGTATCTGGGCAACATGTCCAGTTCCGGAGCCAGCTAGGATCCAGACTCTCCTGGTTGCAGTCATCCCACCAAAATCCACATATTTGTGTTTCCATTATTGACAAACGAAAGAGAAGAGGCACAGCGTTATCAGCTGGGAATAGAATAATGTCTCTTCATGAGCAGAGTGCGTTCTACTTTACAAGGCAATTTTCTAGGTATTACCTTTCAGTTTTGTGAGGATTCGTTAGGAAGAAAAGCACTAAGTTAGTGAATGAACCTCAGTAGACAATTTACCTTGTCCCATTTAGTTCTCATGATATCCCAAATGAAGAGGGATCATTTTTCTCACTTTACAGTCAAGGTAGAGAAGGCAGGCATGCCTCTCCTCATTTTATATGAAAAGAGACTGGGGCTTAGTAATATAAGGAACATGCCTAAATTTCAACAACTATAAATAGGGGATGTAGGGTTTGAACCTAAAACTATCTGTGTCCAGGGCCTATGTTCATTGCTCTATAGTAGCCTTTGTCCACACCAGCCTGTTCCTATATTAAGCATCCATACTCAGCCTCAAGACCCTACAAACTACCTCTGGGGCTGGGCTGGAAGTAAGGACAGGTCAGGGAGGGGAAAACCTGTTGGCTCTGACTCTAACCAATTCTCTCTCCTCTTCTCTGTAGTCAGCAGTCGGCTTTGATTATAAAGGAGAAGTGGAGAAGCACACATCTCAGAAAGGCAAGGAACTGTACTTCACTCAGCCTCAGCAATCCGACTGGCAGGCTCTTCTGCTAAGACTTTATCTTCCAACAGTTGTCACCAGCTTTTTAAATTCCATGACCCAGCTCACCGCTGTATTTTTTACTTTTTTTTGTTTCTTTGTTTTTGAGACAGGGTCTTGTGCTGTTACCCAGGTGGGAGTGCAGTGGCATGATCACTGGTCACTGCAGCTTTGACTTCCTGGGTTCAAGCAATCCTCCAACCTTAGCGTTCTGAGTAGCTGTGACTACAGGTGTGCGCCACCATGCCTGGCTAATGTTTTTTTCTTTGTAGAGATGGAGTCTCACTATGTTGCCCAGGTGGCCTCATCTCAAGTGATCCTCCCCTCTTGCCCTCTCAAAGTGCTGGGATTACAGACATGAGCCACCACACCCAGCACTATTTTATATACTTATTAATCCCAGTGTATACTTGTTTCTCTTTTTCTCCATTATTGCTTTCTATAATATTAAGTTTTCAAATCCCTCTTTTTCCTCTAATGGATTGAAAGTAAGGTATTCTATTCCTTTATTTTAGAAAGTTGTTCCTAAATTTTAACATGCATTTTTGACTTAAATTTAAAATTAATCACAATCTTGGCTGGGTGTGGTGGCTGACACCTGTAATTCCAGCACCTTGGGAGGCCAAGGTGGGCAGATCACCTGAGGTTGGTAGTTCAAGAACAGCCTGACCAACATGGAGAAACCATGTTTTAGAAACTACTAAAAATAAAAAATTAGCTGGGCATGGTGGTGCATGCCTGTAATTCTAGCTACTTGGGAGGCTGAGGCAGGAAAATCACTTGAACCCTGGAGGAGGAGGTTGCAGTCAGCCGAGATTGCGCCATTGCACTCCAGCCTGGGCAACAAGAGTGGAACTTGATCTCAAAAAAAAAAAAAAAAAAAAAAAAATTAATCACAATCTCTTCCTCAGTATATAAGATACATAGACTATTTTAACTACATTTCTTTTAACAAACCATATTGTTGGCATTCAGTATATTGGTTCCATCTTATTCCATCTTATTATTGGTTTCATCTTATCTTATTATTCCATCTTATTATTGGTTCCATCTCATAAACCCCACAAAAATTAATCATTATTATTACTTAGTAAGTGCTTATTTAAATTGACCAAGGTATTTACCTATTTTCTAGCTCAACATTGCTTATTGTATTTCTTTGTTTCATCTTTGCATCTTCTATTTTCTTCTTGCTAAAATATATCCATTAATAAGCCTTTTAATGAGTCTATGAAATGACTTTCAGTCTTTGAAAAATGTCTATTTTGCATCATTCTTATTATTTTCCCATCATCACTTCAAAGATATTATTTCGTTGTTTCTGAGATCTCTCTTGTCAGACTATCATTCCTGTGTAAATAACATGTCTTAACTCTCTGGGGTTTTTTTTTGATTAAAGATTTTCTGTTGGTCTCTGATATTCTGCATTATTAGGGTGTGTCTAGGTGTTAGGCCTATTTTTTATTATCCTATGTGGGACGTATTGCTCTTTTTCAACCTCAGATGTGACTTTCATTATATAAAGTTCTCAGATATTTTCTCTTTGAATAATACCTCTTGTCTCTTCTCTTTATGTTCCCGTGCTGCATTCTGGGTAATTCCTTAAGATCTAGGTTAAGTTCACTAATTCTCCCTTCAGCTGTATTCCATTATGGTTTAAGCTATCCATTATTTTAAACTTTCAAATCCCTTCCCTCTCCTTCCTTCCCCTTCCCTCCACTTCTCTTACTTTCCTTTCTCTCCTTCCTTCTACCTTGACCTCCTAAAGTGCTGGGATTACAGGCATGAGCCACCATATCAGATATTTTCATTTCCGAAAGTTTCCTTTGGCTCTGTTGCACATCTGTTGATTCATTTTCCGTAAGACATTACAGTTTCATTACAATTCCCTGTTCCACTTCTTTAAGCTCTTTAATTATTTTAAATATGTACTTTATAGTTTCTTTCATATTTTATATTATTTACAGTTCTTGACTGTGCCAGTTCTTCTAACTAATCTGCTTTTCCTCATGGTTATTTATTTCCTCAATGGTTTGTAATATTTGTTTATAAACTTATTTCAGTGAAGGAGAAGGATATTTGTTTTATGAGAATTTCATGTGCCCTGGTGTTTAGCAAGTACCTCATGCAGGGAAATTTTGCCTCTACTTCTGGATGAATTCTAGAGGTCTTAATAGTAATGGACATTTTTTTTTCTTTATTATTATCTTTTCACAGGAGTTCAAGTCCTTCTGTTTTTTAAGTTGGTATGGTATGTTGTGCTTTTCAAAGAATTTGTTCATTTTGTCTGTGTTGTGAGGTTTATTGGCATAAGTTCATTTAGAATATTCTCTTATTTTCTTTTTAACTTCTGTAAGATTTCTAGTGATGTGAAATGTCCATTTTCATTTCTGATCTTGTTTATTTGTGTTTTTTCTCTTTTAAATTATTCTTACTAGAAGTTCATCAATTTTATTTTTTTTCCAAAGAACAAGTTTTTGGCTTTGCTAATTTTCTCTATTGTTTACCAGTTTAAAAAAAATGTATGGGTTTCTGCTCATATCTTTATGTTTTTCTACTTAGTGTTGATTTAGTTTTTTTCTTTTTCTAGCTTCTTAAGGTAGAAACTTAGATAATTGATTTTAAGCCTTCCTTTCTTTACTATATGGGCACTTAAAAAGCTATACATTTCCCTCTAAACACTACATTCATTTGCTACATACATTTGCTACATTCAGCAAATATTATATATGTTTTAATTTTCATTCATCACAAACCTGTGGTCCCAGCTATTAAGGGGGGCTAATGTGAGAGGATCCTTGAGCCCAGGAGTTTGAGGCTGCAGTGAGCCATGATTGTGCCACTACATTTTGGCCTGGACAACAGAGTGAGACCCTGTCTCAAAAAAAAAAGCAAAAATGAAAACATTTATTTAGTTAAAATATTTTCTTATTTCTCTTGTAATTTCTTCTTTGACACATTTATTATTTAAAAGTTGTTACTAATTTTCTAAGTAATTTAATTGACTTCTAATTTAATTCTCTTATGATCAGAATATGATTTCTAATATTTCAGTCTTTTGAAATGTACTGAGACTTATTGAGACTTATGGACCAGCACATGGTTTATTTGGTCAATGTTCTATATGCATGAAAAAAGCACATTCTATAGTTTAGAGTATAGTGTTGTAAGAGTCAATTATGTCTTATTAGCTGATAATGTTTGAATCTTCTGTAATTTTACTGATTCCTTTTTGCCTAAAATGCCTATCAATTAAGGAAAGAATGGTGTTAAAATTTTCAACTACTGTTATAGATTTGTCTATTTCTTGTTCTACTTCTGTCAGCTTTTGCATTGTGTGTGTGTGTGTGTGTGTGTGTGTGTGTGTGTGTGTGTGTGTGTGTCTGGTAGAGTCTCGCTATGTTTCCTAGGTTGGTCTCAAACTCCTGGGGTCAAGCCATCCTCCTGCTTCAGCCTTCTGAGTAGCTGGGACTACAGGCATTCACCACGCATGGTGTTTAAAATTTTTGTTTTATTTAAGAGCTTCATGCATTTTGATTCTGTGAATAGGTTTATACCAGCATGCACATTCCTGATGAATGGCATTGTTCTTTTATCATTGTATCATGTCTTTCTTGTCTCTTATAATGCACTTTGTCTTGAGATCACTTTGTCTCATATTCATATCATCTTTCTTATTCTTATTCTTTCCACAATATATATTTTCCTGGATCAGTATTTAATTTCTCAGCTTAGAATTCCTGCATCACATAAGTGGTAAAAAAAAATTTGTGTGTGTGTGTGTATTTGCATTCTACACTCAGGTGTAGGCTTGGAGTTTCCAAGTCTCATAAGCAAATTTTCCCCCTATCAAATGTTGAACAGGCTAAAAGCCCCCCTCGCCATTTTCCTGGATAAATGAGTAGAATTTTTCTAGCACTCTCTTATAGGAGTGGAGACAGCTTCATTTGTGGTTTTCTTCCCTCCTCCCCCATTTTTACATGGAAATTAGAACCCAGACCCTTGATTCTAATCCCTATTCATTACATTTGGAATTTAAAATCTAATCAGGTATGATAGTTCACACATGTAATTACAGCACTTTGGGAGGCTGAGGTGAGTGGATCCTTTGAGACCAGGAGTTTAAGGCTAGCCTGGCCGACATAATGAGACCTCATCACTACAGAATTTCTTTTAAATTTTTTCGAGATGGAGTCTGCAACCTCCACCTCCTGGGTTCAAGCAATTTTCCTGCCTCAGCCTCCCAAGTAGCTGGGATTACAGGCACCTACCACCCTGCCTGGCTAATTTTTATATTTTTAGTAGAGATGGCCATGTTGGCCAGGCTAGTCTCAAACTCCTGATCTGGTGATCCACCCACCTTGGCCTCCAAAAATGTTGGAATAACAGGCATGAGCCATTGTGCTTATCCCTCCCTCCCTCTCTCCCTCCCTCCCTTCCTTTCTTCCTTCCTTCACTCCCTCCCTCCCTCTCTCCCTCCTTCCTTCTTTCTTTCTTTTTTTATTTTTGACAGAGTCTTGCTCTGTTGCCCAGGGTGGAGTGCCATGGTGTGATCTCAGCTCACTGCAACCTCCGCCTCCCGGGTTCAAGTGATTCTTCTGCCTCAGACCCCCAAGCAGCTGGGACTACAGGCACAGACTACCACACCTAGATAGTTTTTGTATTGTTTAGTAGAGACAGGGTTTCACCATTTTGGCCATGTGGGTCTCCAACTCCTGACCTCAAGTGATCCTCCTGCCTCCGCTCCCAAAGTGCTGGGATTACAGGCGTGAGCATGATGCCTGGCCTGAGCTTCACTCTTTAAAACAAAATTGTTATGTTTTATCTGACATTTCTATGTGCTTATATAAGAGTAGGGGAAAGGCATACATTTCATATATCTGCCCTTTTTTTCTGGGAATCTCTTCACTCTCTATGCTTGCCCCTTCTTGAAAATGGGAATGTTCTCATCTTCGGATAGAAATGAGAGAGGGAAAAGGTAAGCAATATTCAATTAGAAGGCTACTTAGGGCTGGGCGCAGTGGCTCATACCTGTAATCCCAGCACTTTGGGAAGCCAAGGCAGGTGGTTCATGAGGTCAGGAGATTGAGACCATTCTGGCTAACACGGCAAAACCCCATCTCTACTAAAAACACAAAAAATTAGCTGGGTGTGGTAGCATATGCCTGTAATCCCAGCTACTTGTAAAGCTGAGGCAGGAGAATCCTTTGAACTTGGTAGGTGGAGGTTGCAGTGAGTAGAGATCAAGCCACTGCACTCCAGCCTGGGTGACAGAACGAGACTCCATCTCAACAACAACAACAACAACAACAACAACAACAGCAACAACAACAGAAAGACTACTTAGGGCATGATTTCTCTTTAATTCCTCTGAATTCAATCCCTGCTCTTTTTCCAGGCCCCTAACACTCTGCACCCATTCCTGCTGGCCTCTCTTGACCAGCGCTTCCCTTTGTGCTGGAGCCTAAGGGTGGGCTCTCATGACTGCTCCTTCTACCATAGATTACTCTCGTGGCTTTGGTGGCCGGTACGGGGTGGAGAAGGATAAACGCGACAAGGCAGCTCTGGGATATGACTACAAGGGAGAGACGGAGAAACACGAGTCCCAGCGAGGTGAGTTGGGGTTGGAAGGGGGAATGTCACAGATAGTACAGGGCTCTCCTTCCTTCCTTACTGGAAGCTCACCCAGGAGCCCCAGAATACAGAGGGGCCAGATGTCCAGAGCAGGGGGTGAGTGGACAGTAAGCGCATGCGTGGGTGGTGGTAGTGAGGGGAGAGAGGAAAACAGCAGGATTAAGAACAGTGCCTACGCCGGCCAGGCACGGTGGCTCACACCTATAATTCTAGCACTTGGGGAGGCTGAGGCAGGCAGATCACCTGAGATTGGGAGTTCGAGACCAACCTGACCAACATGATGAAACCCCGTCTCTACTAAACATACAAAAATTAGCTGGGTGTGGTGGTGCATGCATGTAATCCCAGCTACTTGAGAGGCTGAAGCAGGAGAATCGCTTGAACTCAGGAGGTGGAGGTTGCAGTGAGCCTAGATTATGCCTCCAGCCTGAGCAACAAGAGTGAAACTCTGTCTCCAAAAAAAAAAAAAAAAAAAGGCTGGGCACAGTGGCTCACACCTGTAATCCCAGAACTTTGGGAGGCTGAGGTGGGTGGATCACAAGGTCAAGAGATCAAGACCATCCTGACCAACATGGTGAAACCCTGTCTCTACTAAAAATACAAAAAATTAGCTGGACGTGGTGGCACATGCCTGTAATCCCAGCTACTTGGGAGGCTGAGACAGGAAAATTGCTTCAACCCAGGAGGCAGAGGTTGCGGTGAGCCGAGATCCTGTCATTGCACTCCAGCCTGGGCAACAAGAGCAAAACTCTGTCTCAAAAAAAAAAAAAAAAAAAAAGAGCAGGGCTTAGCGGGGAGGTGAGAGAGAAGGGAGCGTTGAGGAAGGGTTGAGGACAGAAAGCTGGGTGATGGCCAGAGGATGCTTTGCCATGAGTCTTAGAGGGCCCTCTGCTGTCATCACAGAGGATAAGGAGATTTACTGCTTCCTTGGAACCCATAGGGATGGCTGGAGTGCTCTCTGTATTTTTTCCTATTTTACATTTTTCCTTAACTGTTGCTTTTTGCTTTCCATGTTTCTCTATTTCCGTCTTTCTTTTCTCCATTCTCTCCCAGATTTTTTCCCCATCTGTTTCCCTCTCTTCTCATCCATGTCTCTATCTTCTGACTCTCACATTTCCTCCTACGTCTCTGTTTTCCACATTCCTGTCTTTCTTCCCACTGATTCTTCTCCCCACACATTCCCAGCATTTTGATTTCCTGTAACTCAGTACTTTTTATCCTGCAGATTATGCCAAGGGCTTTGGTGGTCAGTATGGAATCCAGAAGGACCGAGTAGATAAGGTAAAGCACCAGAACACCAATGTCTTAAGAAGAGTTTTCTAAGTTTAGGGAAGTGCGCAGAGAAGAGTGTGAGGCAAGGCTGGGAGAAGGAGGGGATGGCAATGCTCGGTGCCCAGAGCCTATCCTGCTGGCATCCTGCTCTCTGCACTGACTCAGTATCAACGGGGCATGTCTTCCAAAGCCTGAGCTTTGACTTGGGACAGTGGGAGAGGCATACAGAGACACAGATCAACCGCAGGGAAAGGTGGTGTGGGACTGGAAATTGTATTGATTTCTTGGCATTGCTTAACCCAATCTTAAGTCTCTTCCCACCCCATGCCACTGTCCTCCCTACACTAATTTCTCCTCATGCATTGGCCAGGGGCCCTGCTACATTCTAGGCAACTGGGTTTGGAGACATGAGATTCTAAGGTCACTGAGCTTTTGAAAGGGGTAGCTGAACCCAGCAGTTTAGAACTTCTTTACCCCCTTCTCTACCACAAAACAATATTGGAACATGCTGTCCAGCCTTTGAGCATCCAGTGGTTAAGGATGCCTCCTACAGTGGCCCCGACCCCCAAGACCATCTCCAGGTCACCGCTATTCCTGCCCCTCCCCCACAACACACATGCTGTTCTCCTGCCTGCAGAGCGCTGTCGGCTTCAATGAAATGGAGGCCCCGACCACAGCTTATAAGAAGACAACACCCATAGAAGCCGGTGAGGTTTTGTGATCCACTCTCGATGAACCTCGCTACCTTCTTCCTCATTTGTTTTCCTCCCCAGACTATCTCCTCCATGCCTTTAACTACCTGGATTAGCTGAGGTAAACCTGATCCCTATCCTTATGTTCCCAAATTCTGGCTCTCCTAGAAAAACCAGGTCAGGCAGGGCTCATGCCTGTAATCCCAACACTTTGGGAGGCTGAGGTGGGAGGATTGCTTGAGCTCAGGAGTTTAGGAACAGCTTAGACAACATGGGGAAACCCTATCTCTATAAATAATACAAAAATTAGCCAGGTGTGGTGGTACATGCCTACAATCCCAGCTGCTTGGGAGGCTGAGGCAGGAGAATCGCTTGAACTCAGGAGACGAAGGTTTCAGTGAGCTGAGATCATGCCAGTGCACTTCAGCCTGGGTGACAGAGTGAGACTCTGTTAGAAAGGAAGGAAGGAGGGAGGGAGAGAAGGAGGGAGGGAGGGAGGGAGGAAGGGAGGGAAGGGAGGGAGGGAAGAAAGAGAAAGACCAAGTCAAGTAGATAGAGAGATAGAGTGATGTGGGGGAAGGAACTGGAGGCAGAGAACAAAGTGTGGCATGGGGTGGGGGTGGGGTGGGGTGGGGGCACTGGTGGGGAACCACTTGGGAAGGACACATAGGGATAGGAGCTTCGGATGGGGCTGAGGATGAGTAGTGGCTCAAAGGCATACAGATTTATGGAATATAGACGAGGAGGATGCTGGTTGGAACCTCAACATTTACAATTTAGAAAAGATGCAAGTAGGTTGGGCATGGTGATTCATGCCTGTAATCCCAGCACTTTGGGATGCTGAGGTAGGAGAATCACTTGAGCCCAGGAGTTCAAGAACAGGCTGGGCAACACAGGGAGATCCCCTCTTTATAAAAAATACAAAAATTAACTGGACTTGGTGGTGTGCAGCTGTGACAACTACTCCAGAGGCTGAGGTAGGGGGATTGTCTTAGGTTGCATAGCCTGGCTTTATAAAAATCCGGGCCTCAGGGCTACATCACCCTCCTATAATCCCCTTGTTCCTCTATCAATACCTTCCTGTCCCACAAGTCCCTCCTCCTGGATATTTAACTGATTCCGCTTCTTCCTTCAAGTGTCGCCCCTTCCCCACCTTCCAGTCCAAGACAACCCTAATTCTTCTTGCCTGTGGCCACAGCTTCTAGTGGTGCCCGTGGGCTGAAGGCAAAATTTGAGTCCATGGCTGAGGAGAAGAGGAAGCGAGAGGAAGAGGAGAAGGCACAGCAGGTGGCCAGGAGGCAACAGGAGCGAAAGGCTGTGGCAAAGATGATCCCTGAGGCTCCAGAGCCAGGGGTAGCTGTAGAGGAGCCAGCGGTACCAGCCCCACTGCCCAAGAAAATCTCTTCAGAGGTGAGTGCCTGGCCCTTCAGGATCCATATCCAAGATCTCTTGCCCAGACAGGACCCTAAGGGGTCCAAACCATTGGCAGAAAATAAGGCAAAGGCCTCCCCTGGGTTGGGCAGCATCTGTTGTCTCTGACTTTAGAAGACTTCAGTCTCACGTAATTGGGCCTCATATATCAGAATGTTAGAAAGAAAACTCCAAGATTTACATAGTACAACAGAAAGCAAGTCACCAGCCAGTACAGCCAATTATTGCTATAGGAACTAAGAGGAAGGGACTGTCACTTCAGGTTGGAGCCCGTCTTGAAGAATGAGTTCCATTTGAATTGGCAGAGAGCAGGAGAAGGTGTTCCTCATAAATGTAACAGTGAAGACATGCATGATGTGGTGGGTCATGCTTGTAATCCTAGCATTTTGGGAGGCCAAGGTGAGAGGATCACTTGAAGCCAGGAGTTCTAGACCAACCTGGGCAACATAGAAAGACCCTATCCCTATATATATTTTTAAAAAACTAAAGATTAGCTGGGCATGGTGGTGCACACCTATAGTCCCAGCTACTTGGGAGGCTGAGAGAGGAGGATCATTTGAGCCCAGGAGTTTGAGGCTACAGTGAACTATGATCTCACCACTATGCTCCAGCTGGGGCAGCAGAGTGAGACCCTGTCTCAAAAAAAATTAAAAATAAAAAGAATGAAGATGGGCCAGTCATGGTGGCTCACACCTATGATCCCAGTACTTTGGGAGGAGGAGGTGGGTGGATCATGAGGTTAGGAGTTCAAGACTAGCCTGACCAACATGGTAAAACCCCATCTCTACTAAAAATATAAAAATTAGCTAGGCATGGTGGCATGTGCCTTTAATCCCAGCTACTCAGGAGGTTGAGGCAGGAGAGTCACTTGAACCTGGGAGGTGGAGGTTGCAGTGAGCCGAGATTGTGCCACTGCACTCCAGCTTGAGTGACAGAGCAAGATTCTGTACAAAAAAAAAAAAAAAAGTGAAGATGGAGGTTTGCTTACTTGAGAGATGCTTCATTCTCCATAGGCCTGGCCTCCAGCTGGGACTCCTCCATCATCAGAGCCTGAGCCTGTGATAACCAGCAGGGAAAATCCAGCGCCGTTGCTGCCCGTGAGGCTGACTCTCCCGGAGGTAAGGAAACCGCCAAAGATTCTCTGCCCCCTACACCATCTCCTCGAGTCTTAGGAAGGTGGGCTGTTCAGGGTGGCCAACCATCCTGGTTTACCTTGCACTGTTCTGGTGTTAGCACGTAAGTCCTTGCATTCTGGGAAACTCCTTTGTCCTGGGCAAATAGGACAGTAGGTTATCCTAGCAGTGGTAGCTCAACAATGTGCTTTTGCTTCAGTGTTTCCTTGGTCTCCCAAAGAATCTGACTTGCTTTCCACTTCCCTCCCCTCACACCTTTTACATTTTCTTCTCATTGTCTCTGGAATGTGTTTTGGGTGGTGGGTGTGGGAGGAAGTTGAGGAGTGAAGACGGATGGATGAAAGGCTGTGTCCCCCAGGAGGGGCTGGTAGGCAGAGGCAAGTGTGGAGGGGAGAAGAGGCAGGGTGGTGAAGGGCAGGGGGGCAGATCTTAGCAGTCCTTCATTGAGTCCTCCTGGAGAGTGGAAGTCACACGGCTTCACATTGTCTCTTCTCAGGACAACGAGGAGCCCCCTGCTCTACCCCCTAGGACTCCAGAAGGCCTCCAGGTGGAGGAAGAGCCAGTATATGAAGCAGAGCCTGAGCCCGAGCCTGAGAATGACTATGAGGATGTTGGGGATATGGACAGGCCTGAGCAGGAGGATGAACCAGAGGGGGACTATGAGGAGGTGCTTGAGCCTGAAGGGTCTTTTTCCTCCACTCTGGCTGGTGAGTGGTGGGAGGAGAAGCAGGAGAATTTGGTCATGTCCAGGGGAGGGTAAGAGGAAGAAGAATTTCTTTGTTGACCCATCAGGAGCTTTCTCTGTTTGCCTTCTTTAAGTTGATGAGACCATGTTTGTGTTTCTCATTATGCAGGATCATCGGGCTACCAGGCTGGGGCTCTGGGGATCTCAGCTGTGGCCCTATATGATTACCAAGGAGGTAGGTTGGGAGTGGCCTGAGGACCCTGGTGCCTGGAGGCCCCGATACAAGGCAGGGGGACATGGGGAAAGAGATTCGTGTCTGACCATTCTAATATTCCCTCAACTTTCTCCCCAGAGGGAAGTGATGAGCTTTCCTTTGATCCAGATGACGTCATCACTGACATTGAGATGGTGGACGAGGGCTGGTGGCGGGGACGTTGCCATGGCCACTTTGGACTCTTCCCTGCAAATTATGTCAAGCTCCTGGAGTGACTGGAGCTAGCTGTCTGCTGCAACTGTGATTTCCCATGTCCAGAGTGGCTCTGCCTCCACCCCTTCCCTATTCCTGCTGCAAATCTTTGACCAGATGAGGTCCTAGGCAGACTTCCCTCTCCCGCTTCATTAAGGGCTTAGGGCAGAGACAGCATGGGGAAGGAGGTCCCCTTCCCCAGAATCCTCTCTACCCTGGATGAACTCATAGACATTTCTTTTGTGGTCCTGCCTCCTTCCACATGAACACCTCTCTGCCACCCCAAGCTCTGCTCTCCACCTCTGTGAGCTCTGGGCTTCCCGGTTTGTTTACTTGGGAAAGTATGTCTAGATTGTGTGGTTTGCCTGGTTGTGCTATTTGCTCACTTTCCTTCCCTGAAGAAATATCTCTAAACCTTTTTTCTCTTCAGCCCTAAAATTCTAAATAAAGTAGGATTGTGGTCACCTCTATGCTGAGGTAAATGGTACTTTTTGTGTGGCTCTCATGGCCCCAAATCTTAAGGCTCCAGCCTTTCCTCTTCCAGGCATATCCAGGAGACTTTCTCTTATCACTGCCGATTCCCCTGCACCCTAGATGTCAAGGGCTAGGCCTTTTCCTTCGACTGAACTTTTTTTTTGAAATGTAGTCTTGCTCTGTCACCCCGGCTGGAGTGCAGTGGCACCATCTCAGCTCACTGCAGCCTCCACCTCCTGGGTTCAAGCAATTCTTGTGCCTCAGCCTCCCGAGTAGCTAGAACTGCAGGTGCTTGCCACCATGCCTGGGTAATTTTTGTATTTTTAGTAGAGATGGGTTTTTCCCATGTTGGCCAGGCTGGTCTCAAACTCCTGACTTCAGGTGATAGCCCGCCTTAGCCTCCCAAAGTGCTGGGATTACAGGCATAAACCACTGTGTCTGGCCTACTTAGGCTGCACTTGAAACTCAGTCCAAAACAGAGCAGCCAGAGGAATGGCAGTAAGTGGGATAAGAGGGGCCGGGTCGTATCCTAGGTATGCCTATCAGGCAGTTCAGCTTCTACTGGCTTTAGCAGTAGTGGAAGCCCCGCCAACTTCTACCTGGGGGTGATGACCACACTCTTTTAGGGATGTAATGATCACTCTGGAGGAAGACAGGGGATAGGAAAAAGGAAAAGGGAGGTTTGGCCAATAGAAAAGAGTAAAGGTAAAGGAAAATAAACTTAGGTGAGTTTTAATAGGATTTGGAGCCAGAGACAATGACCCATGCTCAAGAAAGTTCAGGCTTCCTTGTAGCTGAATAATTGAAATCAATAGCCAGGAAAGAGAGTGGACAGAGAACACACACAAGCTTCTGAGGGGTCTAGGCCTGAGGACAACAGGAAAAGAGGTGAGGACACGTGGACAGCCAGCAGTGGGCAAAAAGTGAAGCACCAAGCACAATATGGGGATGAGGGAGAATGCCAGTGCATTTAGCCCAGCCCCAGGCTATTGTGGGTACAGCCTCAGCAAGGTCAGACGTAAGAGGTCCTAGGGCAATATCAAAAGTCAGAGATTTGGTGTAGATCTCTGGTTAGTAGGACACAGAGGACTATGCTGTTACGGGCATCAAAGCCGGGTCTAGCTTTCAAAGATGGAGAAGGTGGCCAGGCATGGTGGCTTACGCCTGTAATTCCAGCACTTTGGAAGGCCAAGGCAGGTGGATCTCTTGAGCCCAAGAGTTCTAGTCTAGCCTGGCAACATGGTGGAACTCTGTCTCTACAAAAAATTAGCTGGGCATGGGGATATGGCCCTACAGTCCTAGCTACTCAGTAGGAGGTGGGAGAATCATCCGAGCCTGGGAAGTAAAAGTCAAGCCTTCAGTGAGCTGTGATTGTACCACTGCACTCCAGCTTGGGTGACAGAGTGAGACCTTGTCTCAAAAAACAAAAGATGGAGAAGGCATTGGGATCAAGGAGGAGCTAGGATGAGTTGCTAAGACTCATAGTTAGTTGCTCCAGGGCTTCATAGAGTTGGTGAGCTGCCCAGCAGGAGTGTCCAAGGGAGAGGATACAGCCATGGGTTCATAGTTTCTGTTTTTGGTTGGGTCAGTAAAGCCCCTTCCTCATCCCTCTTTTCCACTTAACCCTCTTTTTCTAGAGACAGAAACTGAAAACCATGGCTTCAGGCTGCTAAAAGGCTAAAACAAAACAAAACAGGACAATAACACAATACGGCAGGTTGGACAAGCTTGGCACTGCATCTCAGGCTTGTGCTCTGTTCTTTCTTCATGATACACACTTGGTTTCAATGACAACTTCTATGCCTGTGAATCACACATCTATCTCTAGACTTTACTCACAAGAGTCACCCAGTTAGCCTTTCAGAGTGCAAAGCAGCTTTTATTTCCTCTTCTAGAGACATTGGGATTTCTAGTATACAGAGGTCAATCACCACAGATATACTCAATCTCATTCTTCATTTCAGTTTAATTTGACATCACACATAAATCAGACTTTTATAGTGATTTTCATGGCACGTTTTCAAGTTCCATCTTGCTTTTCACTTTTCCTTTCGTTGTAAAACAGAAACTTCTTTTCCAGACCCTTACGCTATTAAGGCAGCACGGTCCTCTCTGGCCCAGTGCTACAGACCTCAGTCTCCATATTCCGCTAATCTCTACTGTGGACTGCCTTTCTTGGCAGTGATACCCACCAAGGGCTTTGCCCGTAGACATCACCCCTCCCTGTGTACACAGTCCCTCTTCACTCCCCTAAGCTGCTTCTAAATCTGTAGCCACATCTAGCTGTCTTGTCTATCAGATAACACTCATGGTTCATGCTGTTCATTCCAGCTTCCTCTCACAAATCATTTCTCTCTAATCCATAGTCACCTGAAAGGCTTTGGTGCCACTGCCCTCTCACTATGAAGTGTCCTTATCTTATTGAAGCTCGTGCTTCAATACAGCTCTGAAGGCAGCAACTGGAGGGGGAGAGTATGGTTGGAAGTGTGCAACTTACAAAGCAGTTGTGGGCAGTGCCACTCTCCTGAACCGAGGCTGCCCCCACCCACCTGATTTGGGAAGGGAAAGGCCTCTGCCCTCTTCCTTTCTGTATGTAGTACCTTGTTTCTCTTCCGTTCATCCATAGCCCCTGATTTTCATCTCCACTGTTCCGTAGTTTCCCTTTCTTCTTCTATTAAAATCACAAACCCAGAGTGGATTTTGGAGGCTTTTTCATCGGAACTGCCACCTGGACAACTCTCTTCCTTCCTTCCCACTGCAGTGTTAGGTTGTTTCCAGTTACTTATCTTCATGGAATAAAACCTTAGGTCATACCCTCATCATATTGTTAGAAAATGGTGCCTTATATACAAATAAGAAATATAAACCAAAGGATGGGATTAGGAAAAATAGAGTGACATGACCAAATAGTACCAAGTGGCACATTACAATGAAAAGATGAGCATGTTTCTGGTCTGAGACTGGCTTTACTGCCTTCTCGACTCTTTTCAGAGGTGTTAGCTACTTCATCTACACCAGCTCTGAACCATGTTTAGAGAGAACCCATGCAATAACAAGCACCCAGATTTACTAGACTCCTCCGTTTATTGGCGGAATTCTTTATTCTCTGCTTCCCTACAATGCCTGTTCTTTTCCTTTCCTATTTCTCACTTGCTTGAGAAATTGCTAGGTCTGCTGGGAAAATGACACCAATTACAGTGAGAGGGATATAAACACAGGGCCAATGACTCAACTTTCCAAGCTTCAGGCATAACCAAAGAGAGCTGAAAGGATACATTCTTGCATGTGGCTGAAGGACATGAAGCCATACCAAACAAATCATCATCTCCATCTGGTTCCCAACTTAAAATCACTACGCATCTAAAATAAATATTTCACTTTCATAAAGAGCTGCATGAAATCATAACTACTGTGGATAGCTAAGGGAGATAAGATTTTGCTGTTCTAAAAAATAAGCATATCCTAACTTATTGTCACTAGTATGAGATCCTTTAGGGATTTTCAACCAGGAGCCATTTTGCTCCCCGACATTCAGCAATGTGTGGTGACATTTTTGGTTGTCGCCTCTGTGTGGGTGCTACTGGCATTTCATGGATAGTTCAAGGATGCTGGCAAGTGTCCTGTAGTGTATAGAACAGTCCCTTAAAACAAATAATTATCCAGTTCAAAATGTCAATAGTTCTCAGGCTAAGAAGCCCTGCTTTGGGGGATGCCAGTTTCTATTGTGTCTTTTTATCTTTTACTTTTGTTCTTATGAATATTCACTGTTTGATACCAAAAACAGCAGTATCATCCATTTTTGTCAGACTGAATGCATGGCCAACAATATGGACGGGTGGGAGTAATTTCAGGGAGCCATTATGTTCACATGTCTTTCTCTCCAAGACCCCAGTAGGTACCCAAGTGTGGTCTAGGAGCTGGTGACTGGTGCCATAGGAACTACAGTGGGCCTTGGCTGGACTTTGCCAAAGGCATGGTCTCCCTGTGCATTCTGGCATGATGCTGAGGTTGGCGTTAGTGTATTGAGGTCATTTCAGATAGGACAGGATGCCCCAGAGCCATGCCTATGTTCTGCCTAACTCAGACTTAGAACGTAATTTTCAGAAGAAAAAAAATATTGACTCCTAAGTCATCATTCAGATGTTACAAAGTAGGCTTGTGGCTTTTTGTCCTAAGGTTCTCCATAAATGTGATGTCTCCTTTGTACTCCCCATTTCTCAAGGCTTTCCTGCTGTATGTTGCCAAGATTCTAACAACAGACTCTGTGACCTCATTTCTGCCTCTCAAGTTTTGGCCGGGTGGCTTTGAGGCTGCCATGCTCAGCCAGGGGCTCTCTTATGTCAGGCTGTGCCTCTCTGGCTTGGAGGCAGTAGGATGACTAAAACGAGCCCCGGACTTGATTGTCAAAATAGACACAGCTCCAGAGCCTTCAAGCTGTGTTCCCTTCACCCTGTGTTCTCTGGGGAGTAACGCTCTGCACCTTAGTTCCATCCTGCATTTACTGTCCCACAAATTTGAAAGTGCTTTGTAAGCAAAAAAGTTCATGTAAAAGCACAGGCCTGTACTGGTTATGGAATTTTGTGGCTCTCTCATCTCTTAAGAAATTGGGTCCATCTTCCAAATGGCCTCAAATTACTTACTTTCTTCTCAGACCAATCTATTTTAGAAAGAAAGAAAAAAGAAAAGGAAAGGAAACAAATCATCAGTATGGCACTATGGTACAGGCCATGTCTTAGGGAATTCTTAGGCCTTGTGTTGAGGTTTTGAAGGACATTGCATGTTCCAATACACCCTCATAAGCAAATAGGCAGTTTACAGAAGGGAGTCCTCAAAACCACACTCTGTCCTACTTCAGGAACTCTGAGACGAAATCCAAGAATGGTGCATTGGGTGACATCTGAATTTTTAGGAGACGTATCTTCCCCGTGGTCTGACTCTGAAGGTGGAGACTAAGCTCTCCCGGGCCTGCTCACGTGGCTCACACATGCTGGTC